GGACATAATTCAGTACTCTGCGTAAAAATTTGTCTCAATCGAACCAATATTGGCAGTATGGTGCTCTATTAACATAAAATCGGACGAATCTATATATGGGAGCTATATCTAAATCTGAACCGATTTCAACAAAACTTGGCACATATCAATCTAGACCTAATTCAAAACTGTGTGCAAAATTTTGTCTCAATCGGGCCAAGTTTGACAGTATGATCCACCATTTACATAAAATCGGATGAAACTATATGTGGGAGCTATATCTAAATCTGAACCGATTTTCTCCAAAATCAATAGGGTTCGTTCTCAGGCCAATTAAGTGATATGTGCCAAATTTCATCAAAATCGGATCCTAAATGCGACCTGTACTTTGTTCACAAAAATACATGGACGGACGGACACCATTTACCTTAAATCGGATGAAAATATATATGGGAGCTATATCTAAATCTCAACCGATTTTCACGAAACTTAACACACATCATTCTAGACCTAAATCATTACGCTGTGCCAAAATTCGTGCAAATCTAAAGATATATAGGGACTTTGGTGCCCCGTTTACCTTAAATCGGATGAAAATATATATGGGAGCTATATCTAAATCTGAACCGATTTTTCAAAATTTCAATAGGGTTCGTCCTTGGGCCAAATAAGTGACCTATGCCAAATTTCATCCAAATCGAATCATAAATGCGACCTCTACTTTGTTCACAAAAATACAGGTGCGGACAGACAGTCGAACGGACGGACAAAGCCTAGACATTATCAAAATATTTTTTAACCACTGTGCTCATCATATTTTATGTCATTTTTATTTACATAAATATTTCGCATGAGAAAAAAAAAACAAAAACAATAATTATAATATTTAAGTGAACGGAAAGCCTTCAACCTCTCCCCCAGGAGAAGTGGAAGGAAGGTTGCATTGAGAATGCAATGAAAGTAAAATATGAGTATGAACAGAACAAAAAATAATTATCTAGAGAAAATGGAATTTTATTTAACAAAATACGCACTCACACACACACATACACACACACATATATACATATATATTCAAGTGATCTTTGGAACTGTGTTAATGATGCGTCATTTATTTGTAGCTCTTGTTGTCTTTGTACTACCTTCAACTGAGAAATATTTTCATTTTACAAAATAACAACAATAATCGTCATAATGCATTGGGGAAGGAGGAGGGGCAGACCACAAACTCACCCTCATCCTCCACCCCCCAGCCTTTGACACAAAATGATTGATGATGACTTGACTTTGGGTTTTTGGTTTAGTGGCAGGTTTTCTTTTTGGCATCATTTCCCTCCTTCATCTTCCATTTTTGGCTACTTTTAATGGCCGCTCGTCCAGCATCTACCCAATTGATGACGTCAAATTGACCAATAGTTGTTGTTGTTTTTGTTATTGTTTGTGGTTGTAAAGTAACGCATTTTCGGTTCGGGTTTTTCTATTTTTATTGCAGGAAATATCTATGGGGAGATTTGTTGTTGATGCCTTGCCTAAGTTATTGCCAAATTCCACAATGAATTGAAAATGTTGTTTATTTTACATTATTCGAAATTAGTTGTTGTTGCTGTTGTTATTTTTGTTTGTTTTCAAAATAAACAATGTACGAAGAGGAACAACAGCAAAAATTATATGAATGAATTTTTTGTGACGTCAGAGTGGAAAAAATGCACACGAAGCAAATAATATTGGGGTGGTGTTTTTCTGAATGTCAAAAATTAAGAAAATGAATCCAACTATTGGCCGATTTTTTATATATTTTCGAGGTATGGATTTTTTAAAAATATTTTGTGAGCAGCTACCTATAGGCTTGGATGTATGAAAAAACTATTTTTTGAGAAGGTACCAAATAGCGTGGATTTTTTACAAATATGTTTTTAAAGCTAAATATGTTTGTTTTTCTTTTTATTTCTTTTATAAAAAAATATATATTTTCCTTTGTATTTCTTTATAAAAAGTTGAAAATTTCGTGCAACAAATCAACCGAAACCCTCAAATCGCTTTCCTTGACTGCAAATGTCTGCATTCATTAGCATTTAACCGGAAAACCACAAACAAAACGGGAAACTAAGTATTTTTGCTTTTGGGCTTTTGTTTTCCTAACACTTTTAGTGAAAACTTTTTTTTTGTCGGTTTGTTCTTGATTTTCAATAATTTTTGTGGTCATTGGTGCTCAACACAGAGAATTTAGAGAATTTTCGCAAACAATTTAAATCCAAAAGAAAGGATTCTCTAAATCCAAAATTGAAAGGAAGAGTAATTTCCTTCCGGTTTAAGAAAATAAATTGAAACAAATTTTCCTTAAATGGAAAGGAAGGAAAGCAGGCAGGCAGGCAGGCAGGCAGTGGTCCAGGAAGCCCGAAAATGGTTGGAGGTAGGGGGTTAAACTCCCACTTTCCCAAAATTTGTATTTAACAAACATTTTAAGTTGATGGCTTTTGTGTTTAAACGCCTTTCTCCAGCTTTGGGTCGCCACAATTTTTCCCCGGGGAAATGTTTTCCCCACCGATGAAAATGGAAAATGGGCGTGCTTTGTCTTGCCGCTGCTGCTATTGTTGTTTATTGTGGCATTTAATGGTGATTTTATTGTTTTAAAATATGGCCAAGTCAAGGTGGTCCCCAAAGGTGGTTGTGTGTGCGTGTGCTGCTGCTGAACATCTGATGAGTCTCGGGATTTAGGGTTTGCTAAATTATGTGCTAATGATAAACTCAGGTGATTTGTGAATATAATTTATTATTGCAAAGGGATTGTAAATTCTTTACAAATAAAACAAAACGAAACATCTCGAGATAAGGGATTTTCATTGGGAATAATAGGCATTTCATTGTGATGATGATGGTGTAATTTTGCTGGCCTACGGGGAACATTTAGAATACATTTAAATGATTTAGAGAAGAAAACTAAAAGAAATTGAACATTTGTTGGATGATAAGAGAGAAATTTTATTAACAAAAGTTTTAATTGTTATAAGAAAAGGGAAAATATAAATGGATTTTTATACCCTACACAAGTATGTTGTCAGGGTATTATAGCTTCGTGCAGGCCTAAGGGTTTGTAACGCCGCGAAATATTGGTCCTAGACCCACCTTTAAGTATACCGATCGTCATATCTTGACTAGCTGAGTCGATCTAGACATGTGTGTCCGTATGTTGTCAGGGTATTATTGCTTTGTGCAGGCCCAAGAGTTTGTAACGCCGCGAAATATTGGTCATAGACCCACCTTTAAGTACACCAATCATATCTTGACTAGCTGAGTCGAACTAGACATGTGTGTGCGTCCATCCGTCTGTCCATTATAATTTGTAAACACGATACAGGCCACAGTTATGGGCCAATCATAGAGATGTGGGATGGGTTCTGGCCAATGAAGACCTCTATTGTTTTTAGTAAAGATCGGTTAATATTTAGGGGATGAAATGGACCAAATACTAAATTTTTGTCGATTTTTCTGATCGCTCCAGAGGCCGCAATTATGACCCAAACAATGCGAATTTTTACATGGAGAAAGGGATCCGGCCAAAGAATAAACATCCTGGTTTGGTAAAGATCGGTCAATAATTAGCGGGTCAAATGGACCCAGACTTTTGTGTGAAAAATTACAAAATTTGTATTCTGGGTCATATATATTTACTCCTGAAGGACATAGACCCGAGATGTTGATAGTATATCCAAGAGGAATGGATGACCTTTAAATCGACACCAATATATATTGTCGTATGTACTCGGATGTAGGAGTTACACGTAAATATTTACAGGTGCTTATGTATTCAGATATTATTTAATAACACATTTCCACACTGTAGGGCGGAATTAAAGCGCTAATCGCTTTGAAATTTTCCATGAGGATCCAGGTATGGTCAAGGACAATGCCTATAATTTTCGGTGATGTTCAGATCATAATTTTGGGATGAAGTGGACCGAAAACTTAATTTTAGATGATTTTTCGAGTCGATCTACAGGCCACAATTGTAAGCCGAACATCACAACCCACGGTGAAGGGAAGGACTGTACTGAATATTAGTAATATTCGAAAAATATGTCAGTGTTAGGATGAGGTACTCTTGATCTCCAATCGGGCAAGAGGGTGCAACTATCACGAAATATTGCCCAGGCTAGGAATAAAAATCCTCAGAAAGTTGGAGTTCCATGGTAGTTGTGTAGGGTATCGTATGGTCGGCCCCGTCCGACTATACTGCTCCGCTCAGTGGTTTGAACATATTTTTCCACAACCCAACATAGGCGTGGATTTTTTTAAAAATATTTTTTCACCCAGCCCACCAAGGGCGTGCCTCCTTAGGGTGGATTTATTAGTTGAAAAATAAGTTCCCACAACCCACCATAGGCTTGGATTTTTTTAAAAATATTTTTTTCACCACCCAGCCTATCAAAGGCGTGCCTCCTTAGGGTGGATTTATTAAAAATATTTTTTCCCACCTCCCTGCCCACCAATGGCGTGCCTTCCTAGGGTGGATTTTTTTAAAGATATTTTTAAGACATAGCCTTAGGCCGGGAATTTAAGAAGAACATGGCTTTTTTAGTCGTGGATTTAAAAAAAATATTTTTCACAAAGCATCTTTAGGGGAGGGTTTAAGTCATCTTTAGACATTTTTTAAATTTATTTTTAGCAATATTCTATTTATTTTTCATTTTTAATTAAGGTTATAAAAAAAAAATCCCCTTATCTTATCAATCTGAAAATGTTTTTCCAATTTCTTTGAAACGACCTTGCTTATCTATTTTTTCAAATTGTTTGCCCCTTTCCTGACCACTCAGACGTTATTGAATTAGCTATTATCAAACCAAGTGTTATCAGACTTTTTATTATTTATCAAGAATTATTATTTTTTTCACTTTGTCTTCAATTTCATTTATTTCAATGCTTATCAATATTAGACCAATTCCCACCTATTTATAAAAATTTGTTTTTTTTTCTAATAATATTTTATGAAAGTGATTGAAAATGAAGAATTTGGAGGTACTTACCACCTTCCGGCTCTGAATCATCAATATAAATCATATTGGTTTTATTTTCACGATGTTCACGCAGACGGGTACCTATTTTGGCGGCTGAGGTTTTGAGGACTTGAAGGTGCGAAGAAAATATTTAAAAAAATATAATCCAAAAATGGGCAGGATAAGGAGGGCGGATTAGTTTCCTTTCTGATGCAAAATTGGAGGTAGAATTTTTTAAGGCGTTTTAAATAATTTTTTATATATTTGTTGTATTTTTTTGTAGAATTCTTCTGTAGATTTTTTTTGTGGATTTTTTTTAGCGGAATTTAAAGGGTTTTTTCTAGGTTTCTAGCACTTATTTTCTTAAGATATTTTTAGAATTATATTTATATTGCAAACACTTAATTATTGTTCTATATTTTTAATTATTTATTATTTTGTTGCACTGAAAGGATAACATAATTTAATTTTCATTACAATTAATAACATATATATTTGTTGGATTTTTAATTATATTTTTATTGTATATTTATACTTTTAAGTATATTTTCACTTTTAATTTTAATATTAATTTTTTTTATCATATTACACTTGTTCACTTTATTGTTCACTTTATTTCCATGTTATAAAAATTATTAATTTTATGTTATATATAATTTAATATGAATTTTATTTTTATTATTTTTTAATATTGAAATTATTATTACAGAACAGCTTTGACCACACAGCCAACACAATAATGACACTGATATTAAATATTCTTTAAAACTCCTACTCATTGGTAGGTGCTATGCGTCGATTTTTCTTAAAGCTAGCAAATTATATGGCTGTGCCTTGACAAAAATATTCTTCAAAAAAAAAATTTGCTTTAAACTCCAAGACTTAACTTTAAAAAACTAAAACATCTGCTTCTAATTGAATTTTTTTACTAATTTCGCGAAAAATATTCTTTTAAAAATCCAGCCGTGTCAATCGTCTTTTGAAAAAATCTACATATTTGCTAACTTTCAATAAAATCTAAAAACGGCTAAAAAATATAATCGTCAGTACGTTGTGTCAATAGGCCTAGCTATGGATCTTTTCACGAAGCTTAGCAACATCATTCTAGATTTAATTGAGCACTTAATTCAGGGTCTTTGGTGCACCAATTACCTTAAATCGGATGAAGATATATATATGGGACCTATAACTAAATCTGAACCGAATTTCATGAAACTTTGCACACATCATTCTAGATTTAATTCAGTACGCTATGACAAATTTCGTGCAAATCGAATGCTTTTCAGAGACTTTGGTGCACCAATTACCATAAATCGGACGGAACTATATATGGGAGCTATATCTAAATATGAATCGATTTTCACTGAACTTAGCACACACCATTCTAGAGTTAGTTCAATACGCTGTGCAAAATTTCATGCAAATCGAAAGACATTTAAGATCTTTGGAGTACCATTTATCTTAAATCGGACGAAAATATTTATGGGAGCTATATCTAAATTTGACCCAATATTTTCGAAACTTGATACACGTCATTCTAGACGCAATTTAGTGCGTTATGCTAAATTTCGTGAAAATCGAAAGATATATAGGGACTTTGGTGCACCATTTACATTAAATCGGACGAAAATATATATGGGAGCGATATTTAAATATGAACCGATTTTTCACGAATTTCAATAGGATTCGTCCTTGGGCCAAATAAGTGACCTATGTCAAATTTCATCCAATTCGGATCATAAATGCGACCTGTACTTTGTTTACAAAAATACATGGACGGACGGTCGGACATGCATAAATCGACTCAGAATGTGATTCTATGCATATTCTCAAAAGGAACCATGGACCTATCTCGATTCTTTTTGCAAACATATGCACAAAGACATAATACCCTGTACCACAGTGTGGTGAAGGGTATAAAAAAAATAATTTTAATAAAAAATATCCAAGCCTCTGGATAGTTTCTCAAAAATATTTTTAAACCAGTGAGTGGAGAGTCGGACGGGACCGACCATACGACCATACACAACTTTCACGAAAATCTAACTTTCTGTGGTTCTATATTCTAGGCTTGGGCAATATTTCGCGATATTTGCATCCTCTTGTCCGACTAGAGGTCAACAAATAGTACTAATATTCAGTACAGCCCGTCTAAAGCGATGCGCAGCTTTCAATTGTGGCCTATATATCGACTAGAAAAAACACAAAAAATAAGTCTTCGAAAATTATAGGTGTTGCCCTTGACCACTCCTGGATCCTATAGGAAAATTTCAAAGCGATCAGCGATATATTTTCGCCCTCTAGTGTGGTAATGGGTTTCTAAATAATATACGAATACGGAGATACCTGTAAATATTTAAGTGTAACTCCCAAATCCAAGCCTCTGGGCAGCTTCCCAAAAATATTTTTAAACCCGTGAGCGGAGCAGTATAGTCGGACGATACCCTACACAACTACAGCGGAACTCAAACTTTCTGCGGAAGTTTATTTCGAGCCTAGGCAACATTTCGTGATATTTGCACCCTCTTGACCAATTAGAGATCAACAGCACCCCTTCCTTACACTGACATATTACCCGAATATTCCCAATATTCAGTACAGCCCTTCTAATTACTTGTCCAGATTCCCTTCAGCATGGGTTTTGTTGGGATGTTCGGCTTGCGGCCTACAGATCGACTCAAAAAAAAAAGCGACAAAAAAGTTCTCGGTTTACTTCATCCCAAATTATGATGTGATCATCACCGAAAATTATAGGCGTTATCCTTGGACATACCTAGATCCTCAGGGAAAATTTCAAAGGGATCAGCGCTATAATTCCGCCCTCTAGTGTGGTAATGGGTTACTACATATATGTATATATATATAATATACATAATATATAAATACGTAAGCCCTTATAAAAATTTTAATGTAACTCCCACATCTGAGTACATATGACAACCACTCCTCTTGGATATACTGCCAACTTCTCGGGTATATGTCCTTCAGGGTTAAATGTATGCACTGCAAAATTTGTCATTTTTCACACAAAAGTCGGGGTCTATTTGACCCCCTAAATATTGTCTTTGTCAAAACAGGCATGCTTATTCTTTGGCCCCATCCCCTTATCCATGTAAAATTTCACGATGTTCGGGCAATTATTGCGGCTTCTGACGCGACCAGAAAATCAGACAAAAATTAAGTTTTTGGTCCATTTCATCCCCTAAATATTAACCGATCTTTACCAAAAACAATAGGGGTCTTCAATGGCCAGAACGCATCCTACATGCAAAATTACGTGAAAATTGGTCCATAACTGTGACCTGTTTCGTGTTTACAAATTATAATGGACAGACGGACCGACACACCTGTCTAGATCGACACAGCTAGAGATATGACGATCGGTATACTTAAAGCTGGGTCTAGGTTTAATATTTTGCGGCGTTACAAACTCTTGGGGCTGCACAAAGCTATAATACCCTGACAAGATAGTTGTGAAAAATAATTGTGAAAAAAATATTTGTAAAAGCCAAGCCTGTTGGTAGCTTCTCAGAAAATATTTTAGATCCTAAAAATATTTTTAAAGAATTTTTAGCTCCTCAAAAAATATTTTTAGAAAATCCATGCCTATTGGATGATCCTGAAAACATAATTTTAAAAAATCTCGCCTATTGGTAGCTCCTCCTCAAAAAATATTTTTAGCTCCTGAAAAAGTATTTTTTAAAAAATATTTATAGTTGATCAAAAAATTATTTTTAAAAATTTACGCTCTTGGTATCTCCACAAAAAAAAATTTGTCACTTTTATAGTTTTGTTTCAATTTTTATTTATTAAAAATTTTGTCCACCCTTTTTGAAAAAATCATTTTCCACTTTTTTTTAAGTTTTGTAATTTTTATTTAATTTCAATTTTTTCACTAATGGTTGTTTATTTTTTTTTTATATTTACTATTATGTTTTTTTTTTCTTTTCAATTTTCTTCCATTAGAGAGGAGACGCTTTTGTTTCCTTCTTAACATTATTTTAATTTCCGTTCATTGTGGTGGTAATTCACTTTATTTTTTGCATACAAATTATTATTTGTTGTTGTTATTGTTTCACTTTCGTATTCTTCATTATTCTTTAATATTCATTATTATTTTTTTCTAATATTTCTTTTATAATTTTTCTTCCGATTTTTCTATTTTCTATTAAAAAAATAAGAAAAAGAGAAGAAAAGAACTCGGCCACAGTTTAGTTACAGGAAAAATGTATCCACTGACACCGATGTTGTTATTATTTTTTTTTATTTATGTATTTCTTGTTGTTTTTGTTGTAAACATTAATGACGTTGCCATTTGCCTGCTTACCTCGTGCGTGCGTGATGCATGGCAGGCAGGCATGTGGTTTTTTGTTGCTGTTCGTATTATTTTCGAATTCGTGTTTTTTTTTCAACGCTTTCGTGTGCCCTGCTGGTGTTGTGTTGTGCCCGGCAAAGGTTTTACTTCGAACTAATTTTCTTGATAATGTTCCGAATTTGTGTTTTTGGCAATTTCGTGTCGCTGTTTTCCCTCGATGTTGCGGAATCTTTTGTTAGAAGTGTTTATTTTTTTGGTTGTTTCTTCTCTTCACAATAAAAATGTTTCGTTGTAGGTGTGTGCGCCTGTGGATGGATGGGGTTGAGGTATCGAGGAGCGTAACGTTTTATTATTTGGGAGATTGGCGGAAATATAGGGAAATGTGTTCAGTGTGTTCAGTGCCTAATGGTTCTCTGGTACCAATTTGGTTGCCAGTTTTTTTTTGTTGGCTGTTGTTGTGTGGTCAAAGTCTCAATGCTCTCGTTTTTAGTCTCTTCTGGGGGGGAGGGTGATAGATATTCACTTGTGGTCTTTTTTTTGTGTTTTGTTGCTGTATTTTTCTGCTACTAACTATAACCCGTGCCAGTTGTTGTAATTTTCATCATCATTATTATTGTTGTTCTGTTTTGTTTTTCCGAATTTCCTTTGTTACGTTTCAAATGAGCGCGCGCGTCCCGATCTTTTGTGTTGTTCTTTGTACGGCGTTTCTATTTTGTTTGAGTGATTTTTTGCTTTTTCGCCACAAAATTCTTTCTTTCGTTCGGTTGGCAGAATTTTTAGTTGCCGTCGATGTTGTTGTTGC